CTTTGGGTGGAGGGTGTCTGTGTGCTCAATATTAGAGCATCTAGGCAGTTTATGAGAATCACTTCCCTCGCTGTGCCTCTGTTTGTGGTGCAGGTGTTAGGAAAGCTCACTGAGGCTGCCTCTGTCTAGTCACTGTTACTAGCTGCCTTAAAAAATGAACCAAAAAAGGCAGCAGTTTCCAAGGTCAGATTCCCCAGGACTTTAGGAAACGCTAGTTCTGGGGTTCACTTTTCGGTCTCTACTCCCTGGACTTGAGAGTCTCCGCTTAAGTCCCAAGAAGCATGTGTCCGTAGGGTCTTATTAAAATCTTTGAGGGAGAGACCTGCAGTGCTTTTATCAAAGGGACATACGGGGCTGCAGAAACACTCGGCCCTTCTTTCATTTGTGTAGCGGATTGTTGTTGAAGTTTCTGATCTAGTGTTCATGTTAAGGGACCTGGGACCTAAGAAACCATGTTCTCTCCTTTTGTGGAGCTGTAGCTCCGGTCGTTAGTTTCCACTGGTTTCCTAGATACGGTGCGGGGGCAGCGGGGACCCTTAAGCTGGAGAGCCACGTGGCAGGTGCGCTAATCCCCCTCGTGTTCTCTCACAGACAGACAAAGCACCCAGTCCACAGCGGCTCCGGCAGTTACCTCTGCACCCTGCCTGTCTGGCCACCCCAAGTAAGCGGCAGTCCTCCCACCCTCTTCATCTCGGACCACGTGGCATTTGATTTTGTGTCGGCAGCTTTGCCGTACGGACTTGGGGCGGGAGGTCGGGAGAGATGGGACCAGAAACAGCGGAAGAACTAAATCACTTTCTTACCGTCCGAGTATGGTTCTCTTTCTTTTGGGGGGAGTTTTTATTTTTATTTTTTTTTCTAACTTTTTTTTATTGAGTTATAGTCATTTTACAATGTTGTGTCCCACCTCCAACACCTCCCCCAACCCCATCCCGTCTTCCAATTTTTCAGTTATACATGAACATACATATATTCATTGTCAACATTTTTTTTCACTGTGAGCTATTATAAGATCTTGTATCTATGTCTCTGTGCTATACAGTATAATCTTGTTTATCTATTCTACATTTTGAAATCCCAGTCTGTCCCTTCCCACCCCCCGCCCCCTTGGCAATCACAAATTTGTATTCTATGTCCATGAGTCTACTTCTGTTTTGTTTTTTGCTTTTGTTGTTTTTAGGTTCCACATATGAGTGATCTCATATGGTAGATTTCTTTCTCTTTCTGGCTTACTTCACTTAGAATGACATTCTCTAGGAGCATCCATGTTGCTGCAAATGGCATTATGTTGTCGGTTTTTATGGCTGAATAGTATTCCATTGTATAAATATACCACATCTTCTTTATCCAGTCACCTGTTGATGGACATTTAGGCTGTTTCCATGTCTTGGCTATTGTAATGGTTCTTTTTCTTTAATTGAACTACAGTTGATTTACAATGTTGTGTTGGTTTCTGGTGCACAGCACAGTGGTTCAGTTTTATATATATGTGTGTATATATATTATTTTTCATATTCTCTTTCATTATAGGTTATTATAAGCTATTGAATATAGTTTCCTGTGCTCTATAGTAGGACCTTGTTGTTTATCTATTTTATATATATAGTAATGTGTATTCGCTAATCCCAATCTCCCAATTTATTCCTCCCCTTCAGAGCGTGGTTCTTAACCTGGGGGTCCCCCAAGTCTCAAGAAATTCATGAATCCCCTAAGCTTGTATATCAAATTGGCTACATGCAGGCCTGTGGACATTTTTTGAGGGGGAAGAGAGCCCACAGCTTTCACTGAGGACTCAGCTGGATCTGGAAGGGGAGGAGTGGGAGTTAAGCAATATGAAAGCTATTTCAGGGGTTTACCTGTAGGTGGGAAAGATGACCCTCTGGTCTTCGGGAAAGGCCTTCAGAAAGCCCAGAGGGTCACCTACTCCCTTTCTTTGCCAAAACAGCAAAGAACATTTGGTCTTGGCCTTTTTTGCTGGGGTTCTCCTGACACTGCTGCTCACGGCCCTCATCTTCCTCATCATAAAAAGCTACAGAAAATGTAAGTCTCCAGGAGGTGGGGCATTCTTTCTTTCTCTGCCATCAAGAATGGAGTTAGCTTTGGAGGGGGGGATAACACCTGCCTAGCCCACCCTCTCTGCAGACCTTCACCCTCCCCCTGCCCTCCCCACCTTTCACCCTTCCCACCTCCAACACCTCCCCCAACCCCATTCTGTCTCCCAAGATTGAAGAGAGAGGCTTCTGAGTCCTCCAGGCCCCACTGGTGACACTGTCCCTCTTCTTCTTGGCACTTGTGGCAGGTCACTCCCATTCCCAGGCCCTGGATCTTCCCTCAGATCCTCCAGACAAGGTAAGATGACCGTGCTGTTTCTGGGACACTGGAGGCCTGCTGCCATTGGAATTTCCCCCTGTTATGCCCTACCAACTAGTGTTATTGCTCTGGGCACCGGGCAAGTGATTCTTTGAAGGGTTCTTCTGATCTCCTTGGGGTCTTCTCTGACCAAAGCTTCCAAGTTGCTTCTAAAAGGCACTTGCTTCTAAGAGATACCTTCCTCCAAATTGATCTCACGCATTCCTCCTCCTCCTCCTTCTGCAGCTTTCACCCCCAGAGGAGGCACATACCTATGCCAACACGACTTTCAAAATCTCAAAGGAAAAGAGTGATCACCTGACTGAGAACCATTCTGCAGGCTTGGACCCCATTGTCTACTCTCAAATTAAAGTGACAAACTCAGCGTCCCCTTCCACTGAGGCTTGAGTCCCATTCCTCTCATCTCAGCTTCGTCTTCATACATCACCTTCCCTTTTAACAAATTTTGGACAACAGCCTGGGTCAAACCACCGTCGGAGTTGTCTGGGTGTGATATGCAAAAACGGCCATCCATTTTGAAGACCAAGGGTCAGTCTTTTTCCCGGCCTGAGAAAAGATTGCTGACCCTCCCACTTGGTCCAACAGCCTGTGAGCCCTTTTGAGGGCTGAGACTGCCTCCCTTGTCCCCTTCCAAAGTGTGTGGCGCAGAGCTCCGGGCACAAAGAGCATTCCCTCAGCATCATTGGTCACCTTGGGAGGAGTCTAGAGACCATTACAAATAAAAGCAAACCCTCCGCAATGTGGGCTCCTTTTCCATCATTGATGTGTCTGTCCCCATCACCTGCAGAGGTACAGAGCTCTCCCACAGCCAGAAAAGCCTGATGGAGGTAGTGGCGTTGTTGTACTCCGGAACTAACTCAGGATCGATTGGGGCACAGGTCTCAAACTCTGTCACTAACTAGCTGCCTTCATTCACTGGGGCAAGTGCGTTAAACTTTGAAAGTTTCAGTTTCCTCGTCTTGAAAACAGAATAACACATATCTCTTAGTGTAAGAATAAATAAGATATCATATGCAAAAGTCCTCTGTACATCCCAGGGCTTTGCACAAATACAAGGTCCCTGTTGGCTAAAGCACTACTCAAGTGTGGATGTCCGTCTCCTTGCTGTAGCATAAGAGGTACACATTACAGCACTATATGGGAACTAAAGATTATCCAAATATTAACTCCTGCCCTCAATCCCGATGGATAGCTCCATAGATGATCCCAGTAAAAATACCGATAAGATTATTTTTCACTAGGTCAGATTACTCTTAAGTTCCTATGGGAACAATAAACAGGAACCAAGACAATTCTGAATACGCTCTATCCATGTAGAGTGCGCGTGCGTGCGCATGCGTAACCCGAGTGCACCTGTGTTTGTATGTATGTATGTCTCTGAGAGAAATCACCAATAACTGGTCTTAGTAATCGCCCCTGGGGACGGGAGCTTGGCTACTGAGGGACTGAGAGGCAGGGATGGGAGAGGCTATGCTCTCCCTTAAAAACCCTTTTTATAACTTTTGAAGTTCATTTACCTTGTTGAGGATTTTCAGTACCTGGTGCTCCCATTCCCCACCTGAATTCTAGACCAACTGAGAAATAAGAGGACTCAGCAAATAGAGAAAAATTACCGTCTTTATTACGAACATAGCTGAGTAAGAGCATAGACTGTGGCTGCAGCAAAGTGGGCTTCAGAGCCCTGAGCTCTTCATGATTGACAGAGCAGGAGAGTCCCCACAACCAAAACAGCCGCTCAGCTGACCCCAGGAGTTGCAGAAGAGACCGCAGGCTCTTTGAAAGCTGCACCAAGAGATTAAAAAAGGAAGAGGAAGAGCAGAGTGCGCATGCCTGGTTCCTACCTCCAGACTCACTCATCAGTCGTCTCCCTCCATCTCCGCTGGGGAGTCAGCGATGAGTATCACCCCAGTGGACCTCCGTCCACCGGGAGGAAAGCATCCTCCCCAAATCGCTCTTAAACATACATTAAGTGATATGTTAAAAAAAAATCAAGGTAAGGACATTCACATTCCAAGAGATGAAATAATTTACCCAAGGTCTCCCAGCTAGTAACTGGCAGAACAAAATTTAAATCAAGTCCGCCTTGCATGTTGCCTCCACACTGAGCTGCCCCAGAGAGCGTATAGTGGCCGAGAAACTAGGAAGGTAAAACCAGGTGACACGATCGAGAGAGCATATTCACTCTGAGATGGAGCAGCTGCTCCTGACAGGAATTTTTAGGGGAAGACGGGGAAAGAGCGAGTTGATAAAGGAGCGCGCCCTCTGTGGGAGTAAACAGGTCTTGGAGAGGATGGTTTAGGGCGACAGTCTTGTGAAAAGACGGCGGCACCGCAGCGCGACAGCCGCTAGAGGGCAGCAGAGCGCCAGGGATGCCCTTCGCCCCCTAGCGGGCTGTGGGACACAACGGCGGCGGGGCGGTCTCGAAACGCTGAGTTGACATCAAACACTTCCACCAACCCTGAAGCTAGAAGCCGCATCACCTCCAGTTCAGAGCCAGTGCCTTATAAACAACTACAAGAGGAGGCATAAGCATCATCCTCCCGCCACCCACTTGTATATGAAATATCAGATTAATTGCTCTTTCCTCTATTTGCTTGAAGCTTCCCATTTTTAACAGCATAACCCAAGTCTTGTTTTTTTTGTCTCCCCATCGTGAAAACTGGCGTGCAGCTAGCTTTGCAGGAGGATGAAATGAGTAACTTAAATAATTGACCATAGATTCAAGCAGTCTTTGTTAGGTGTGGGGAGAAAAGGGGCTGTAGAATCCTGGATCACGGAACCAGAACCTGTAGGATTCTCAGGGGAAACAGTTTTTAGCTAGTAGGTGTTAAGTCTTCCAGGATGTCTGTGGATGTCTTCATCTGTCGTGAAAGATGGAGGTCTGCTCTCTTGCCTTGTGTGGTAGGATGTCCTAACCAAGCCCAGACTGGACTGCTCTTTGCAGAGCCGGTGGGCTAGTGGCTCCTTTATGTAAATTCAATACATGGCCACAGGGGAGGGGTTGGGGCTGTTCTGTGGCTGAGGGAAGAGACAGCGCTTTTGATGTTGTTTGATCTAAGACTCTGGGAGGTGGGGGGGCCAGCTGGGTGGAAACACGGAGGATGGCAGGAATGGGTCAGCACCCACAGTCCCCCCTCTTCCCATCAGACTGGTGAATAGCTTTGTATTCCCTACCCTACCCCATGGAGAGGGGTTAGGGGAAAGTCAAAGGAACTGTGTTCATGAAAGACTTTGTGAGAGCCTGGACCTAAACGTGCAGGACATATGCAGAACTGTGTCAAGAACCAGGATCCCTGTTCCAGCCCTGCTCAGACAGGGGGCCAGGTGAGTGTCCTGAGCACTGAGACTGGCCAGCATCCTTTTAGCAGGGGCTGGAAGAGCAGGGTTTTTATGAGGGCAGCAGAGGCAGAGGTGGGGAGACCCTAAGATCTCCCTGAAATAGCAGGAGAGACACTCCCTGGGGAGAGAGGATGTAGGCATGCGAGTAGGACCTGGGAGTTTTGGTAATTTTTTCGCTAATTACGATTTCACCTCACTTGCACCCACCACTGTGGATGCCCTATCTCAATCTGTGTTTCCTGATGTGAATGAATATTTCACATCATTTATCACACTTTGGTTTCTCATTGATCAAAATCGGCATCCACTCAGCCTGGTGGCATTTTCTCACATAGGAGAGAGTCTTTGCCCCAAGAGCCTCTGGGAACCCTTGGTCTAGCCTCCCTCCCTTTCTTTGGTAGAAGAGCAAGTAATACCGATTGAGAGATAAATTAGAATATTATCCTTTAACAGAAGCTTTTCCGGAAGTACTTTTCCAGTGAAACCCTGAGAGAAGCTAGTCATACCCTGGAGTTCATTCAACACTGGGTCAGAAATTTACCGGCTAACAAATAAAACACAGGTGATATCCTGGCCCCCGGCCAACATCTGACACTCTTCTTCACTTCTGATTAGCCGACTGCGCGAGAACTAAGATCTCGAGATGTTATCCGACTCTGGCCTTGCCCAGGGGCGGCCCAGCAGAGCCCCTCTGGCGGTCACCGTTCTAACCTAGCTGCAAATGATTGCTGTCAAGGTTAGAGGGGACTTCAGGAATGCCTGAGATCAGAATTATTCCCCGCAATGTGGGCCAGTTGTCACAGTGATTGTATTGTAGCATCACTTTATTTATGAACTAAATAAAAGAAAACTTCTGTCGAGTTATGAGCCGTCTTCTTTGGAGTCAGGACATGTGAGAGGGGCTTCAAAGAGTTGCCTACTTTGTTGGAAATAGAAAAAGAAGATTGAGTTGAGATCTATGCTGGGTGCTTCTGCAGCAAAAGTTTTTAAACCCTGTCTTGGGGACTTCACAGGGACCAAACACCAAAATTTGTTTTCAAGGCCGAAATCAGATGCCATTGCATCAAAGCTTATTAGTCAGTCAGCGGGAAAGCTTGGTGGGCGGGGCTTGCATTCACCTCTCACCAAGCTCTGGTGATGTGAATGCAGCTGGACTCCTTCAGGACCCAGAAGGGACCTTGATTCAGGCTGCATCTTTCAACTGCCTGAGTGTGAGGGAGCAGGTCATGACTAAACCAGGTGGTACAACTCCTTGCTAAAAAAAGAAGAGGGTTGGGTTCCATTGCCTCAACTTTCATAGCACCGTCCGTCTCTCTTATAGAGTACTTACTCTAGTTGTCAATTTCCTGTGTGTGCGTGTGTGTGTGTGTGTGTGTGTGTGTGTCTGAGATGGCTCGTCTGCCTCCCACTCTGCATTGCAAGCGCCATGAAGACTGACGCTGTTTCTTTGACTCAGCTGTGTATCCCAGCATCCGCCATCATCCTTGTTTGTTGAATGAATGAACGAACAATACTGGGGAGTAAGGGGTCCTCAATTTATAGAGAAGAAAACAGGCCCAGAGATGTAACAGGCTGCCCGAGGTCATGCCTTAAAGAAGTGATGATGGTTTTTGCAAAAACCTAGACTACCGTTGTGTCCCAAAAGGAGTGGTCTTGGGCAAAACTGAGCAAGACGTCCACAGCCCCCACAGCTCTCAGAGCGCAGAAGGCCAGGGGTGCCGGGGGAGCCACTGCTTTGATTTCTCAGGGCTCCTGCTCTAGCCAAGGGCCACATTATCACCAGGAAAGTGTGACACCTTTTGCAGCCTTAGCTTTGGATTTCAGATTCTTCTGGCTACAGGCCCTTGTGTTTCATTAACGGGTGTTTGTTTTCTCTCATTCTCTAAAATGTTATGTTTTACATTTCCATGCCCTGAGGAGGCTGGAGTCTGTTTTGTAATTGTGCCTACAGGCTCTCCGCTGCCCAGGGCATTTCTGTGACTTCTGAGCATAAAAAGGAAACAAACCCAGTTTAACCAAACAGCGGCACCTGTGTCTGGTCTCTCTACCCCGAGTCCACCTGAGAGCCTATCGGACTCACCACGTGGTGGCCTTGAGGATCTGGCCTCCTCTGATGCTGCCCCAAAGGACAGGTGGACTGATCCACATGGCCCCTTCTGCACATAGTTCCTCCCTTTAGGAATGGGGAGCCCTAAAGATCAGGGAGCCATGGGCACAGGACTCAGGACACAGAGCCAAGGAGGGAACTTACCAGAGGCATGGGGATCCCAGAAGCAGCTTGGCTAGTTTTCTGGCTTCCAGCTAAGCCTTTACCTGCGATCACTCAAGGGCAGAAGGAGGGACAAAGCTGAGAGGCCCCCCTCCCGTGGCCCAAGCCTACGGCTGAGGCCCTTGGGCCCCCCTCTTCCATTCCTGACGCTTCTCAGGGAGACCTTTCTACGCCTGCTTACCCAGGGGCCCCAGGAACCCCTTTGGCTTCTAGTCCCTCTAGGTGAACAAAAAGTTCCAATCAAAAAGCGTTTGCTCTGAGGAGGGAGGTGGTCCTCCAGACGTGGCACCTTCCGAGTCTTAGGGCCTCCCCGCTACCTGGTCTACCTACACCTTCATTAACGGGGCTACAGTGTTCTGTCTGCCACCCCTCAGGGTGCCTTTGTCACTATGAGGCAGAATGTCCCCAGCCCAGATTGGCCACGGGCAGGCTGCATGGGACGCCAGGGACCCAGGCAACAAGAGGAGGGTCACATTTACCCATTTGAAAGCTCCCCCTTGACCCTTTTTATTTTCCCTAATTCCCACCCACCCCTGCAAACCACTACCTACCCCTTCTAGTCCGTCGACTTCCCCTCCGTTTGGACAGATGACTGATAACGAAGATGGACCCCAAGCTTGTGATCAGTATACAGATAAGGAAGATGGACATCCTGGAAGGAGTCACAGACAGCATTTGTGTCCCTTGGGAGAAACCACTTTTTGGTTCTCTGCTCAGGATCCCCCTTTGCTGGGACTTGCCCCCTCCCGCCGCCCCTGCTCCCACCCGGGGTTCCAGCAGCTCCCGGCAGCTGAATTCCTTTAAAGTGCCTCTCTCCTCCGGAAAACCAAGCCGAACCCAGGCCCCTTCTCAGAAACTGACATGGGATAGGCAGGCGGAGGATCAAGCCTCAGGCGGCTCATCCCTGGACCAGGGAGAAATAAACTCGGGGGCTAGAAATGGATATCATCTCCCACGCAGAAATGAAATACAAAAGGGCAGCTCCGAGAGAGAAGCAGCAAACACACATAAGGGTAGCAGATTAGAGATGGCGATAAATCCTGGCCATTTGTGAAGGCGGCCCCTCCCCTGCCCTTGCATTTCAGCAGACCCTGTTCTCTCCTGATAATGCTTTCCCCTCTTTAATTAAAATGGCCAGAGGGCATTTTTGCTGCTGGTGACCGAGAGTCCTACATTATACTCTTTGGAAAGAAAGCAGATAGTCACATTGAAGACAGCTATTCAAGAGGAGAAACAACACAGCCAAAAAGTAGCAGGTGCAAATCCATCATCATGTCGTGTTATTACTGCCCACCCAAAGTCCATTGGTCTCCTAAAGTTAGGACTCACCTGAAGTGATCTGCCTTGTCGACAACTCTGGAAGCCCTGCAGCTTCTGTTCTTGTTGCCTGATAGGTCTGTGTCAGAAAGGATTTGTTGAGAGTCAAATAAAGCCCCTCCCCAGACCCTTCCTTTGCCATCTGCATCTCTGCACCTTTGCCTGTCATTCCTCCACCTCCAGAGGGTGAGTGCCCTGGGCGGCAGCTGGGTCGAGCGGAGGCACCACGTACAGCTGCAGACATGTGCCCTGCACAGGGCAGAAGGCGGAGGGAACAAGCAGGGGTTGAAACACTCTGCTTGCCAAGCCAGGCACCCCGACATTGGGCTCCATGCATCTGGAGGAAGGGGCACCTTTTCCAGATTTGCACAAAGGCTCTGTGTTGACTAGAAATGGCCCTTGGCTAGAGAATCCCAGGCCGAAGGCTACACGAGGGGGCCAGCAGAGGCAGCAGGGGGCCAGTCCTGTCCTTAGGGAACTGATCAGTAGGTAATATAATTGCCGCCTTGTGCTTCTGACAGCCACCGAAGCCCAATGGGAGAAGCGCCACCCAGATTGCCTCCTGGGATAAAACCAGAGGGTCGTGTGTGTGTCTGTGTTTCACTTAAACTAAGGAGCGCATTTTGGTGGGTCCTGTTTCATCCTGAGCCTGAAACTCAGGACAGACTACACAGATAAAGAAAAGCGGAGCCACACAAAGTAGAAACACCGTAGGTGCGAAGGTCGTCACACGTTCAGGAAGGTGCTTGCTGAACCAATTCCCATTTGGTCGAGTGTGAGCAAGGCTTTCTAGCACCAGGAGGAGGCTGCCAGGGGCTTCCCTTAAGTCCCCTGGTGTGTCTTCTTACTGGTACTGTGCTCTGGTTTGCAACAGAAAGACATCCCTTCTAGAAATGGAAGTCATGCGAAGTCACAGGAGAGAAAAAAAGAAGAAAGGAAAGGGTAGTGCCTTCCATAAGCAGCGTGCCTGAGGGAGGTTTTCTGGTGTAAAGGGAGGTTCTCAGCATTGGACAGAAGAATTTGGGGGAGCATCAGGAGACCCTAGACCTTCGCCCTGGCCCAAAGGAGCAACAGAGACTGGCTTAGAGAGACTCGGCCCTCCAGGCTCCAGCACACCACACCTTTCCAGAAGCTTCCTGGTGCAAACTGTACTCCTTCAAAGAAAGCCCAGACCACTCAGACCTATTATTTGTCTCTGTAAATTATGAAACTATTTAAGTGGACAGTTTTTAAGGGTGCCTGTCCAAGTGCCTAGATCACTTTTTGCAGCCCTGGTCACCTCTCGAGAAATGAATCTTTAAGATTCCAGACCTGCAAGGCCATCCCAGGAGCGCAGAGATTTCATAACCGCCTCGGAGCCTTTCCTGCCCAGCAACACACAGCTCTCACACCTGTTAGCCTCCCAAGTTCCATGAGCCAGATGGCTGTGAGGAAAGAGAGGTTCCGAGAGCACCCCAGGGCCCACGCACCCTCCTCTTCCCCAAACTCCGTGTTACTTTCCAGCACCCGAGCAGCCACCTTACTGCGGAGGGAGGGAGAGACTAGGTTATCCCGGAGAACCTGGGGAGGGCCCGAGATGGTGCTCAGCAAGCATTCGCCACAGCAGCTAACAACCCCTGCTATGGGCCACCCCCAGCCAGACCCCCGCGAGGCTCCTGACCTTTCCCAGGCCAAAAGCTGTTGGCGTGGGCTCTTCTGTTGTCAGTCACAAGAAGCTTTGTAAAATCCATGTCATCTCTGGCAAAGTCTCGCTGGATGCCACACCAGTACCAGCCCACATCCTCCTTGCTCAGGCAGGACACAGTGACAATGAGCTGGTCTCCTGTGTCCCTCAGGGCCACACGGTTGGTGCTGTTGGGTGCGAAGGCGATGATGCTGCAGAAGTCCCGCAAATAGCCTCGGCACCAGTATTTGGGGTGGTCCTTATAGCGGGCGTCGTAGCTGCAGACGGCAGAAGTCGTGTCCAGCACAAAGCGCTCCTTGACTTTCTCGTCCATGACCATGGCGTCTGTGAAAACACACACACACACACACACACACACACACCATTGTTCTTTTCAGCACACTGCAGTTCCTGCCCCTCAGAGGAAAATTAATCAAGGCACTGGAGGTTGATGTTTGCCTATTTGGGGCTGGCAATTATTATGGGCTCAATACAGTCTCCCTAAAATTTCTCTGTTGAAATGCTAACCGCCCAGTACTTTAGAGTGGGGTTGTCTTCGGATTTAGAGACTTAAAGAAGTAATTAAGTTACAATGGTCATCAGAATGGGTCCTAATCCAATCTGACTGGTATCCTAATAAAAAAGGAGACGAGGACACAGACAACGGAGGGATGACCGTGCGAGAACACGGGGAAAGGGCAGCTGCCTGCAGACCAAGGAGAAGGAACTCAAGAAAAACCAAACCTAGATCTTTGACTTCTAGCGTCCATCCCCGTAAGAAAACAGATTTCTGTTGTTTACACCACACGGTCTGTGGTTGGTACAGCGTCCCTGGAGAAGTCTTTTTCTCTGGCCAAAGAGTGGGTAAGACATACATCCCCTGCTGCAAGAATTCAGGCGGGAGGCTAGAGGAGCCCGAGGCTTACTGTTAGCAGATCCGCTGCCCCTGGCCCCTCACTCCACCTTGGCACCCTCAAAAAGGAAGTAAGGAGCTTTAGAGGCTGGCTGCATAGGGCTGAAACAGAGGAGTCAGGTTCTGCCCTGGCCTTAAGGGCTAAGAACTTCAAGTTTTTTCCGCACAAGACTGGTGTGAGCACCTCTGTCATCTCAGGGTGTTGCATAATGAGGAAGTCATGCACGCCACATCCAGCTTGTGTGTGGCTGGGGAGGTGTCTGACCAAGAAGAAGAGATCAGCAACAGAGCCCCTCCCTTGCTCAGCCTTCCTCCCAGACGTGTGCTGGGGTTGGTCCCCTCAAATGCTGCCTCACATTGAGCTCACAGTGGGAGGGGTCAGCCTGCCAAGCAGGTTCGCATCCCTGATACCCTGTGACTTGCTGGGATAGTCTGTTCTCATATCAACCCCAGAAAGAAGACCATGTGATACTCATTTACTGGCCTGGATGCTGACCCAGAGGGAGGGGCAGCGACTCTCAAAGGCCACAAGGCTAGAGGGCAGCAGAGCGCAGGCCAGTTGGTCCTCTGTAGGGTCAGACTTGGGCAGAAGGCAGGAAGTCCCGTCCTCTCTCATCTGTCAGCACAAACATTTTTAAGGGGAGGACGGGGAAGGGAAGGGGAACTTGAATTGAAAGGGAGAATACAGAGCTCTCATTTTAAATGAGGGTTTTAAATTCCCCACAACCCATTTATCAGAATTAAGAACAAGAACTAATTTGGACAAGATCTACTTTCCCCTCCGTTTATTTTCTGGTCCCACATCTCGTATGGTTTGAGCTAATGAGCAGGAACTCCACATAGGAAAGCAGAAGGAAATGGCAAGATTCCTGGGAAGCTGGGAGGGCTGGAGATGTTTCTTCCCCATCTCTTACCTGAAAGGACAGTCAAGGAGAGCAGAATGAAGAGCCCCATGACCGGAAGGAAGTGATCCTTTAACTAGGATCACCAGATGGACCCACGGGTTTTAGGAATCCTGGATCTGTTTAAGGGAAACAGATATCTTTGAGCTTAAGGCGGTTTTATCCTGCCTGGAGAGACCAGAGAAAAGAAAGACCAGTCTGTTAGTCCAAGTAGTGCTGCTACGAATAGGCATCCAGGTTGTGCACTGCACAAGGGTACCTCATCAAAGAAACGCCATTTGTGGACATAAACTTACTTATACAGTAATATGGGGCAACTGAGAAAATTCTAGGCTTCCTGACAGAGGCCAAAACAGCAGTGGAGAGCCCCCTCCTGGATAAATCCACTCTGGCACAAGGGCTGGTACACACTCAGAAGAGCACCTGCACACACCATCACTGACACACATTTGTCTGTATGCGACCGAGCCTTGTCCTGCCAATAGTCCAGATGTCACCAGTGGCCAGGCCTCTTGTCTGTCCACCACTCTTGGAGGCCCAATTCCTATTTAGTGGAGAGGAATTGTAGTAAGGAGGTTCAGAAGTACCCCGCCCCCCCCCCAGTGGATGCTGCAGCCTCGTCCTGGCGGGGGCGGGGGCAGAGCCCAGAGCTGTCAGCGGCACCAGGAGCACGTGAGCAGGTGCAAGTGTGGGTGTCTGGGCGTCAGCAGTCAGGCTGCAGCCTACAGACGTCTTGAAGGCTTTCCTGGGCAGGCTATGTGCCCACGCGGTGGACGCTTCCCCTGATTCTAATGGGACTCACAGGACCTGGCCACCAATTGACAAAGTTTGAATTATGGAACCACCCTCAGGTAAATTTAAGTGAGTGCTTACTAGTCACATCCCACTTGTCTTCGAGGGCCAGACGTGGGTGATTGTCCAGCTTTCCCACAATGTCCTCTCTAGAGGAAGGGGGCCTTTTCCCCATGCACACAAAGTCAGCATATGGGCCCAGGTGGGCCTGCATCATGGTGCTGGGGCCACCTGCATCGTGGTAGCTGTTTTCCCTGTGTCGCCTCATTTATTCATCATGAAACCTTTATGAGTTCAACACTTAAACTGCCAGGGGGTAAAAAGGGAAGGAAACAGGAATCTATAGATTAAAAGGGGGTTTAGGAGACATACTGACAAAACTGCAATGTATGGAACTTATTTGGATCCTGACTAAAGAAAACAATTGAGAAAATTTGGACAATCACTAGGTATTTGATGATAGTAAGAAATTATCATCACAGTTTTTTTCAGATATGCTCCTGACACTGTCACGGCCAGCTTCTAAGATGGCTCCTGGCATTCACGCCATGGTATAGTCCTCTCCTAATCTGAATCCGGGCTGGCCCATGTGAACAGTAAAATATGGGAGAAGTGATGGCATGGGAGTCAAGGCTGGGTCATAAAAGGCACACAACTTCCACCTCAGAAATCTTGCTGCTCTCCCTTTCTTGGCGAAATGAGCCGCCATGTTGTGAGGATGCTCAAGCAGACCTGCAGCGAGGCCCACGGGGAAAGGAACCAACTTGCCAGCATCAACTTGCCAGACACGTGGGACCCACCTTGGGAGTAGACCCTCCAGCATAATCAAATCTCCAGCAACCTCTTGAGATTCCCCAAGCATGAACCACCCCCCAGGATGGTCCTGAATTCCTGACCATAGAAACCATGAGCGATAATAAAGAATTATCATTTAAAACCTTTGAGTTAGGGGGTAATTCATTACATGACAGTCAATAATTAATACTGGTATTGTGGTTATGTTTTTTTAAAAGCAGTCCTTATTGCTGAGAAAGGTGCATATAAAACAAGCACTCAGAGTTGCTCAGAGATGGCACCAAGAAACCAAAGTAAGTACCAACAGAAGGTGCGCTGGATTGCGTACAGTTATCAGCAAAATGCCCAAGATATGAAGCAGTAACATTCTAAAAAAAATCACAGGCTCAGCGGTACAGAGAATAAGCAGATGTGTCTATTAGCATTCTGAGTATTAGTTGATATTATTAGTTCTGTTCCTCCCTCTTAAGGGTAGAATTAATTTTCACCCTATTTGACATGTAAACAAAGAAGGTAAATGGGTAATAAGAATAAACCAAAATTTAAAAACTTTTTTAGAAATACAAATCCAAGTGTTTACAGATGAAATAATTTGATATCCCAAATTTCAAGATACTCAGGGTAGGGCGAGTAGGTGGGGGCATTAATGAAACAAGGCTGGCTGTAAATTGATCCTTATTAAAGCGAGATGATAGATGTATGAGCCTTCGTTTTCCTAGTCTCTCCACCATTGTGTGTTTGAAATTTTTCATACTAAAAAGTAAAAACAAAAAACTGACAAAGAAAACTTTGACACAGGTTATTATTAGTCCCATTTTACAAGTAAGGAAAACTGAGGCTCTGTTTAAGTAACTGCTAAGTTTAAGCTCACACAGCTAGTACAGCTACCATGATCTGTTGCTAAATCTGAAAGAAAAAAAAAATGTTCTTTCCGTCACGCTACTCTGCTTCCCCAATAGTAACAATACTGCAAAGTTGGAGTGTGCTGTGGCGTTTACACAGAGATTTACATACGCCATATCATCCGAGTGGCTGGGGCAAGAGGCAGCCTAAGTTCCTTATTCCCATCATACCCAGCATAGTATCTAAGGGCAGAACTTCTCTAGAAAATGTACATTGGATTGTAAGAAACTGAACATGCAAATGGGCAGCGGACAGACGGTATGTGAAAATAGAACTCTGGCTCACACCCAGCCCAGGAAACCGGCCCCTTATCTACAGTGAGTAGCCCAGGAAGTCGGCCTGGTATAAACCAGACTTAAAGGAAGTCAGACAACTATTTCTAGTAACAGTCCAGAAAGCCAAACAATAATCCCTGTAACAATTGGCCCCGAATGGCCAGGACTTGATTAATAACTGAGAGCTCCCCGAATTTTTGTCCTGCTTCCAACTAGGGACCAACCAGAGAAAGCCAAGCAGGCCCCTAACCAATCATGCAGGATGTCCTGTTTCTAGTTAGCCACCTCCAGCTTCTCCAGGTCAGCATCGTCCAGTCAGGGCACACATGACACCTTCCCTTTTCTCCCACTAGAGACCTTTCTTACTCCTTTGCCTGTCTGAGTTTCTGCCAAGATGCCAGTGACACTGGCTGACTCCCTTGCTATAGAAAGCTCAGAATAGACAGCCCATGCCTGTTCTCACTAGGTTGGTCTTTGCTGATTTCTACAGTTGACTTGATTAAAAAAAAATAATTGGGGTAAATAAGTTCAGCTACTCAACATCTACCTTTGTTCCAGCGGATTTGTCTAGAGGGAGAGGAAGAAGCAAACCTCAGGTGGTGTTCATACCTTCCTTCTTAAAAATGACATCCTTGACAATGTTTAGCTTGCAAGCTAGTCCGGAGATAGACCCGGGGAAACTCCTGTGACACTAATCTCTAAACCTGAAACCAGGGTGGGTCTCACCACTTTCAGCGCAACTGCTCAGCAGTGAGTCTTAGTTCATCTTTTCTGGGTTCAGTCCAAAGGACAATTCACTATGCAAAGTGTTGCTACAGCAACGAGGTTAGAGCCTGAGAGCTAACCAGCGCTTCTCTCAAGTCGCCAGCCAGGCAAAGGTGGGTCCTGGACAGAACAGTGTGCCGGGGACACCCAACGCCCCAGCGTTAATCCAGCACTTTGCCCTGGAGGAGCACTTTAACTAAACACAAAAATTATTTCCAGGGAAAAGCCTTAAGTCAAACAAGGGGACACCATTAAGAAAAAAACTGAGAGTGAGGAAGGCTTGTTTTGTTTTTTGAAAGAAAAAAAAACCCCAAAATGTTCAAGGGGAGATTGTCAGGACGACAGTTCTCTCCCATGTCCAGGGACTGCCAGGAATAGCGGTCCAGTCCTCTGCCTCCAGCCTAGAATGCTGAGTGGTACCAGGACGTGGGTAGATGGGGTGACCAACTCAGTTTGGCATTAGCCGAAAAGTACATGCGAGTTTCTAAACATGCCAGGTGGTGTTGATTCTTCTTGAGCTGACGAGAGGAGACACTGGGACACGTCCCTGAAGCGAAATGTTACTAAGAGTTATCAGGCTCTGACCTAAGATGAGTGTTAGGATAAACTTTTAGGATTGGCTAAGAATTAATGTAAAAAAAATTTCCAGTACACTCTCAGTACACTTATCCTCTCTGATGCAGTGTCACTGAAATCCCAGTCATGCCGCTGTCATCAAGTTAATATGTTTGTTGTCTTAGGAGTCCACAGATGCAGATTTGGGTCACCCAAACTGGGGATGCCACAGTGAATCTCCAGAGCCACGTGCAGTGTGCAAATGATGTGACTAGAACTCTATCCCTGTCGGGTGCCTGATTAATGAGAGGTCAGCAAAACAAACAAACAAACAAACAAACAACAACAAAAAAAAACTCCAGCAGTCCTTGAGTATACAAACCATAGTTTGAAACTGGTTACTGGGGGAGGTTGGATGGATGAGGAGTTTGTGATTAATAGATACACATTATTGTATGTAGAATAGATAAGCAACAGGGACCAAATGTATAGCACAGAGAACTGCTTTCAATTTCTTATACTGAGCTGTCATGGGAAAGAATCTGAAAAAACATATATGATGTATGTGTATAAGTGAATCACTTTGCTGTACACATGAAACTGACATTGTAAATTGACTATGCTTCGATAGAAAATAAGAACGTTTAATAGCCATAATTTGTACCCATGTATCTGTTATTTGTACATAAGGTGAGCTTAAGAGTTTGGACTTTGTAGAAGTTATGAGTACCTCTGCCTGTCTAAGAATAGGTAGCAAGAAGCCTGGGTTCTCCTATAAGGCAGAGCTGCGTTTAAATCCTGGCTCTTCTGCTTAGTAACTGTGTGATTGTGGACAAGTTACTTAACCTCTCTGTGCCTCAGCTTTTCCTTTTGCAAAATAGAGCAGATAATTATGGTGGTACCTCAGAGACTGTCAGGACCAAAAGAGATAATGCATGCAAAATGGTTAGCACACAGAAAGTGTTCAACACATAACAGCTATCCAGTGTCTCTTTTTGCCCCACTCCTACTATTTCTATTAAAATAAAACACCAGAGGAAATGATTAGGACTTAGCTCTAGAGAGAGAATCATTTCTTCTCTATCACTTGATGGATGGTTCCTAAAGATGACAAATGCTCTGATCTGCCCAGGAAAAGGAACAGGGTGTTCTGGGGCCACGGGTGAGGGTCCTAGAGCTTACACAGGTGAACGTGCCACATGGCATCAGGTAGCAAACCAGGCTGAGAGCCAGGAGCAGCCAGCTGGGTCTTCAAGCCCCAAGCGACCCTGACCCCAGCAAGGAGCTACACCACAGTTACTTATCTTTTATTTACACAAATACATTTACAGGTGAATTCAGCGGTTTAAGTCCCCCTTAAACTCAGTTTACTCCTTTCGTTCCCACCATCTTCCAGGCATCTGCTGTGAGCAGAGTTCCCTGCTTAGCTCCGCAATGGAGTAGAATTGAGTCACCCTCATGTGCATGTCCTGCCCGACTGGGGTCCTTTGTCAGTAAGTCAGTGAGGCATCCTTCAGACTCCATGACTCCTGTTTGGGAAGGAGGAACACAGGCAGCAGTAACAGTAGGACGTTGTTCTCAAGTCAGATGTCCAGAAAACTGAATTAGAAAAAAAGGACAAGGAAAAAAATAAAATTAGAGGAAGAGGGTAGTAGGGAAGGTATAATAGGAGGCAGCTGGCCAAATGCTTCCCACATCAGTGGAAGGAATCAAAGATGTGAGAGCCCTTGGCCCAGGTGGATAGGTCCTCAAGTGTGTGTTGACGCTGAATCCATAGGTCAATGGGACAGACAGTCATCATTCATGGACAGCTACTCAGAAGCTTGCTCAATGCTTGGGTCCAAGGAATCAGAGGGCTGGCAGACCACACAGGCTTTGAGGATCAAGAGGTAGGTTTCCTTGAACTTCCTTATTTTATAAGCATAGACGATAGGGTTCATCATGGAGTTGGCATGGGACAGCAGGATGCCCAAGTTCAGCACAACTTGTGGTACCTTGCCATTAAAGTAGGTGATACAGTTGATGATGGATAAAGGCAGCCAGGACAAAGCAAACAAGAAAAGAACCAGAAACAGAGATTTGGCCGTCTTGAACTCTCGTCCGTAAAATGCCCCTGTCTCTTTGGAGCTAGAGAAGTTCTGACTCAGTTTGTTCCGGATGATATAGAAGATGTCAAGATAGATGGCACACATGACAACCAAAGGGATGAAGATCCAAGTGAAGAAGCTGAAGTAGACCATGTAGTCCATCCTCATGACGGAACGGAACTGGCAAGGAAGGAAGGTGATATTTCTGTGGTACTCTGAGGTCAGTTTCATGTTCCAGCCAAACATGGGGGTCAACCCCACCAGGAAGGACACCAGCCAGCAAAGGCCCAGAGCCAACCATATTCTTCTTTGAGTGGTGACCCTCCTGTATCTGTTTGAGTGGAAGAGAGTCGGTGAGTTCACAGCAGGAATTGCTAAAGGGTGAAGAGGGGAGCTGGAGCTGCAGGGTGTTGCTATTCTGTGGGGATTGCAGCTAAACTTTACTGGATGTGAAGACAAGATGGAGTAGACAACGATTAGAGAAAAATCCAGCCAACGCTTAACGATCTACAGTGGACCAGCAGCAGTTGCCTCGAGTCAGGTGCTTGTATACCCCACCCACAGCTTCACTTCCAGCCCAAGAACTCTTCAGTTCCTGGGAGGTAAAAGTTATGGGAGTCTCCTGGGACTGCCCACCTGGGGAGGAATAGTCTCCTCGAAGCACGTTTGCCTGCTGTGCAGTTGGCTTTGACTGCTGTGCTCTGTCCATGAATTACACCCTGCCTCTCCCACACCCGCCTCCATCTGGGTCTGCCCCTGCTTCTCTGTTTGCACCACACTTGGTGTTTCAGTTAGAGCCCATGGGGTTGCAAAGGTTGTGTTGAAGGGTGTCTAGGACCTTGAAAGAAAGACTCAGCCAATGAAAGCCACCATTTCTCCTTAAACCATTCTTCCTGACAACATTCTACACAGACTGCAAGAAGGAAACAGATTGTGTTAAGTACTATGTACTTGTAGACTTTCTCTCAACAAGAATCTCACAACAAACCGGAGATATTTTTATGATAATTTCCATTTCATTGATGGTACTGGTGAAAATCATAGTTATAGCTCCCATTCACTGGGTATAGACTGTAAGCCAGGCATTTTTCTAAGAGCTTTCCATCACTTGATCTTAGGAGGAAGGCGCATTTATCATCCCCCATTTTATAGGTGAAAAAAGTGAAACAGACAAGTCACTTGTACAAACTCAAAGTGGTGGAGCTACAATTGGAAGGAGGTGAGTCTGAGCTCAGAGCATCTTAATCACGAGGATGAGGAACTAAGACAGAGAAAGTTAAGTAACTTGCCCAAGGTCAGGCCTCAAGATCTGAGATTTGAACCCAGGCTTGTTTGTATCAAAAGTTGTCTGTAGCCCCCTCACCACGCTCTTTCCCCACAAGAAGAGAGGAGAACGTGAGGCCAATTCAGTTCAGGACATCTGGGGAATTCGATGTCTTCATTTGGTATTCTGTTCTGTTCATATGGTCACATGAAAGGTTGTTACTACTTTCTGCAGTGGAGAACCTTTTTGGTCCCCTTCTCAACATAGAAGAGGAAGCAAAGCTTAAAAAAAAAACTTTAAAATAACCTATATTGGCAAAGAGCAAAACCATCCGTTTTTATTGCCTCTTTTCTCTCTGCTTATCTTATCTAGTATGTTTCTATCATTTCTAAAAGTCAAGAACATTTTTCACTAATTGAATGTACATCAAGCTTTTATTGTCTTTAGCCTACCCTCTCCTCTCCCCTGGCAACTGAGCACACACTCCCCTAGTCAGTGGGGAGGGATCGGAGTGTTCTTCTGTTTCTAGTTCCCGAGTCTCAGCTCATCATTGCCAAACCCCTCACACACCAAACGGTGCAAAGAACCTCTTTCAAGCTCAGAGGCCAGTTTGGATTTGTTTCCACTCAAAAAGCCTGCGATCTAAATGTTGTAGCCCCATTTCCCAGGCACCTCTATCACAGCCCCACATCCCCCACTCTTCAAGCAATTTACCTGACCGTGAGCTTGACCCGCAGGTATCGGTCCACTGCAATGGCCAGTAAGGACATGATGGAGGCATGGGTGAAGATCAACAGCAGGCAGGTCATGAGAAGGCAGCTGTAAAAGTGAACTGTGATGCCCAGACTGATGACAACGGCCAAAGGCATGACCAGCACCCCCACAGCAATGTCCGCCAGGGCGAGGGAGACAATGAAATAGAAGGTGGTGGTCTGCAGGCTGGGGTTCAGTTTGACCACCCAGATGACCAGCACGTTGCCCACTATGGCACAGAGCCCGATGAGAATCTCCACGGTGATGTAGGTAATGTTGGCCAATGACATGGTTGTGCTGTTGACCGGCATCTTGCTTTCCAAGAAGAGCCTCCCAGTCAACAGGGGTGCCGAAAGTATCTGTGTGAACCAGTGAGCCTAGCTCTTGCCAGACATCTTGCCAGAGGTCCAGGTGCAGCAGCCACAGTCCAGAACTCACGACTTGACCATTCCTGCTCTTCTCCAGTAGGACTCCCTGTCCTTAGAGAGAGCCCATCACAGGGCCACCTCTTCCAGCCTCAGTGCGGGGCCCCAGGAGCCGGAGGACGGTTCTATGTGGGCTGAATCTGAAAGCACTGCCGCTGTTAGTTCCCCTGCGCCTGGAGGTCTACTGAAGCTCCATCGAGATAAGCAACCCTCTTCAGTGGTGTTTCAGGAAGTGAGATGGGCCAAGAGGAAGCACAGAGCCAAGGACACTCAGCAAGGAGATGGGAAGAGCAGAAGAGGGGGCAGTGTGCGTGGCATGGAGAAGGCTCAGCATTCATTGACTCAGAGGCCAGATAAGAATGCAGCACTGGGTGGGAGAGGAGCTGGGAGCACCGACAACGTCATGTTCTGGCTTTCTGCTAGCTTAGCAGAAAGATCCCGTGATAAGGATGCAAACAGAACACGCAGAGGAACAAATAATAGACTGAGAGGGCTGGCTCCTAACCTTGGCCAGAATTTACTCTTTCTGAGTGCATGCTCTAGACGGACTGTGTTCCCCCAAAAGTCATAGGTTGAAATCTGACCCTCAGAGTCATGGTATTTGGAGTGGGGGCTTGGGGAAGTTATTAGGGCATGAGGGTGGAGCCCTCGGTAATGGGATTAGTGTCCTTATTAAGAGAGGACCCCCCCCCACACCAAAGCACCATCGCTCCTTACACCATCTAAGTACCAGGAAGCACGCTCTCACCAGACACGGGTTCTCCCGGTGCCTTGACCTTGGACTTCTCCGCCTCCAGAAGAATGAGAAATACATTCTTCCTGTTCCTAAGCCACCTAGTCTTTGGTATTTCATTACATCAGCCCAGATGGAGTCAGACAGTGCGTAACAGCAGGGACTGGGAATTCGGCCACCTGAGCTGACTCTCCACTGGGCACAGCTGGAACCCAGCCTTTGCCTCAAAGATCTTTTGCCAAAAGGACAAACTAAGATTCCCTGTTCAGATGAGCAAAACTTCAGCACCTCCCATAAGCCTCACATCTGCTGACCCTCCATCTCCCCTTCTTAGCCCACACACCCACCATGCCCTCAGGCTGGCAACCAGCTTGTGTCAAACCTATCTGAGGGACCATGGGGCAGCGCGATGACCAGCCACGCAGGAGGGAGGGAAAGAGGAACACATGTGCATAATCACATCGCATCTCTCCTGCCCGCCTGCCCCAAGCCCGACCCAGCCCTGCAGGAACAGCTGTCTGTCTAGGAATCAGACCTTCTCCCTGAAGTTGCTCACCTGGTCTTAACTGCTGGGAATCAGACACTTGAATTTGGGGTCCACCCGGTTCAGGTGCTTCCCAGTGCTGCCCCAAAGGGTTATTGGACAGACAGCAGAAGAAACAGTTGGACCTAAGCTCACCCAGTGGACTGAACGGTTTATAATATTTACCTTAAGCACCAACCTCTGTACAGCCAGAAATACAATGATCACAGGAGTGCTGTTCTGGTCTTTACCAACAAACACTTCTCATGGGGGCGCTGGTGAGACGCCTCAGCGCGGGGCCTGCCGGGTCTGCTTCAGTTGCCCTCCTTCTGCATCACCCAGCCACCCCCTCTCCCGCATCCCCAGTCTGTCCGAGTCTGTCTGGCGTGGCTCACTCATCCCTGCTAGCCCTGCCACGTATCCCTGAGCCATCTCCCCAGACATTAAGGGACAGCCTTCTCCAGCTGCATTTCTGTCACTCCAGCATTTTCCAGTGTTAGCTGGGCCCACATCCCTGTGCCTTAGAAACATGAAAACTCCCCCAGCCTCCAACGCAGCCTCTCACATATGTCTCTACGTGACTGCCACCTTTATCTCTGCTTCAGAGAAGGAAGTCATGGAGAGCAAGATTTCTAGAAGGCTGCGTGCTATCGAAAAAAGTCCTTCTCACTCTTGGTGACTCACTGTAAAAAATGTACCCCAGCCACCCCCTCCCCGACCTTCAGCCACCCAGCAGCACCAAATAACCTCATGTGAGAGAAAGACCCTCATGTGGGGATGGGGCGTGTTGCCTGGTTGTGGCGATGGTACAGCTGAGGAGCGTTTCTCCTGGAGGGACTGGTAGCCCCAGTCTGCCTCTCAGGCCAGCCTGGGGTGGCCGAGGACAGAGGGACTGGGCCGTGGCAGACTTGAGCATAGACATCTGCTTCGTGTTCGGGAGCTGGTCAGACAGTGGACAACTCCTGCATGTGGACAGATAAAGATCATGGCCCTTGTGTGGTTGTGGGCCAGAAGCTGGGGGGAGGCAGAAGGTCATGGAGACCAGGAAAAGTGCCTGAACCATGGATCCACCCCACGGGAGGTGCGCCCATCTGTTAGGGGTGCATGTGACAGCTGGAGCTGGAAACCGGACCGTGTGTGTGTTCAGATTCCAGGCGAGTCCTGGTGGAACCACCGTCTCAGCTGAGCTAGAGAAACTGAGGAGAGGGGTTTTTGCCCAAACATCGGTCACAAGGGCAGCATGATGGGGGCAGGACAGGCTGTGAGAGAATGACCCACAGGAGAAAGGAGAGCCTGGGGACACAGTTGAGGCCACCGACCCGGCTACCTTTCCCCACCTGGGAACTGTTTCCAAATCCTCTGCACAAACTTGGGGAGTTTTCTCTCCGTGAACAAGAGAAGCCCTTCCTTTGTGTTTTCTGTGCAGACAGAACCCATCGCCACTCGGGGGGGCTGAACTGAGGGGTGAAGGGAAAGGCTTTCACAGTCACTTAACATCCTGGCCCAGGACGGGGCCCTGAGTGATCTTCTCCCTCCAGATTGAACACCTAAGGGCCGCTGGGGAAAGAGGACAAAGAGGCCAGGACGGATGGTCACCTTTCCCCATTGCCCCCAGCACAGCCCACGGCCACTCTTAGTCGTGTAACTTCCTTCCTCATTTCTGAGCCTCCTAACCAGGCTCCGGACGCGAATCCCCCCAAGGCCTCCGTGTTGCCCCAGGATCAAGTCCAGACTGCTCAGGATGGCGTTTGAGACCCTCCGCAATGGGCTCTCCCAGCCCCTGCAGCCTCCGGTCGCCTGTTTCCATGGGAAATCATCAGTGCCACCAAGCTGTGCACCCCACCCCACCCAGGCACAGAGCATGCTCTTTCACTTCCTCTTCCATGTGCACACACTCTTTTCCGGCTAGGAAGTCCCTCCTCCCTCGCATCCACCCAGAAAAGAAGCACTTTTCCTTCCAGATTCTTCTCAAACAGAACCATGAAGGAAGCTCAGCAGACACCACCCCCACCCCATGCTGTGTTTATCCAAACCCTCCTCTGTCGTCCTGTGAGCTCCTGGAGGGCAGGGACCTCCACTTTTCATTTCTGCATGTCTAGCCCCGACCACAAAGCCTGGCAGTGGGTAGGGCCTCCATATACTGATAAATGAATGAACAGGAAGACACCTGAGTTAACCAGGGGACATAAACTCAGCACTGGGGACAGAATGCCAGGAAATCAGCTAGGACCTGCCAAGCACCCTCCATTATGTTGAGCATCTTATATACCTGCTCTCATTCAGTGCTTTCTGATGAAATAAATACCATCATTACTGCTGAGTAAACCGAGGCTCAGAAGGGTTAAGTAACTTGCCCCTGGGTTGCAGAGCGAGGAATTGGCAGATCTGGCATTAGAAGCCACACTTCTGGCTTCAGGAAATGAATAAGCAAGTAAACAAACTTTCATAAATTTAAGAAGTCCCTGGATTTGGAGTCACTGTATTATCAACTGGAGATTCTAAATTCATGTCTGGAAAAGAGAGTGGCAACCAAGATTATGGGAACAAAGCACACGTACAGTGTAGGTCCAGCCCCAACTCTGAGTTAGGAAGAGATGGAGCAATCAGAGACACTTGTGCGAGCAGGCTGCTAGAGGGGCTGGGGCCCCAAGGCGGAGCTCTGAGCCAGAAAGAAAACTTTTTGTTGGACCAAGGTGCCACATAAAAACATTTTTTAAGAATAAATCTTAAGTGGCTCAGTGGATTTTCCCAGCTAAAAGAAAGGCCATGTCTGTTTCACTTCTACTAAAAGAACCTGAAATCCCTGGAGGAGGAGAGGGTCTGGAAGGAACCATGAGCCTGAATCAGGGGAAAAGCAACTGGAGTCCTCGCGGAAGGGCTTCTTGTGTCCCGGACCCTGGCCTGGAGCCACCTTGGGCTGATACAACTGAACCCAACTCAACCACAAGGCTGCCACTTTGCCCTTGGGGGTTCTGTTGAAAATCCTGAGCATCTGGCCAGAGATGGTTCATCTGACCCTTTACAGCTTCTCAGAAAAGCCTGGGAAAGCCCTTCAACCAGCCGGCAATGACAGCGAGATGCAGCATTAGCAGGGGCCCAGGGAAAGGACTCTGGAGCCCCAGAACTGGTGCAGGTGACCGCTGAGACAGGATGTCAGGCAGGCGGAAGGTGGCGGCTTCTGCTGGGGGTTGGCTCTCACCGACTCAACTGCTGCCTGCAGAGTTGCACAAAATCACTTTACTTACTTCCTCTTGGCTCCATGGCCACTTCCCCAAAGCCTTATATTTTTACAGAGCTTGATGCTTGCCAACCAGCAGCAGAGGCTTAGAAAGAACAAGTGCTCAGAGCCCAGGTGGCTGCTCTTACTCCCCGCGTCAAGCCATAGGGAGGAGGCTGGGCTTATCTGGAGCCGAGTCCCCAGGGGGGTTCCTACCAGGGCTTCAGCTGTGACCAAGCAGCCAGGGACTCCCCAGGCCTGTAGTTACAGTCTGAGTTCAGGAGCCTTTCTTAGAGCCAGTGCGAGGGGGGAGGAGAGAGGTCAAGGTTCCTTCACTCTAAGCAACAGGAAATCCTGCCCAGCCAAGGGGAACTGCTCCTGGCGCCCACGCCCCATCCACCAGACCCTCCACCCACACTGAGGATGTCAGAAGGCCTCTGGGCCCTAGAGGAGAATCCAGAGAAGGGTTCAGCTAACTATATTTGTTCCAGGTTCTAGGCACTTAGGAAAAGTGGTGTTCAAACTGCACGAGTCTCGCGAGGGCGGGGCGGCGGTGGGGGCGGTAACTAGAGGCTTTTATTCGTGTCCCTGTCTGGGCGCTATGTGCAGCAGTGACCACCAGGTGGCAGCACATCCCCGCTGCCACCCAGGACTGGGACAAGAGAATTTAGCGCCACCTCCAAGCATCGCTTAGCCACCCCTCTCAGGTCATGCAAAACATTAAAAAAAGTGAGGATTGAGGGCAAAGGAGACACGGAAAGATTGCCATCCGCCTGAATTCAGTCCAATCCCGCAGAATATTCCTCGGCAGTACCAAATTCCATGATCTTGACTCAGGAAGGCTGAGAAGCAGTTTCTCCTTTTAAACCCGTGAGTGTTCCAAGAAAAACATTTCTTGTTCTTCATAGTGTGCAAAGCTCCACACATGCCCCACCTCACTAAATTAACACAACAGCCCCCCAGGGCAGGTGTCATTCATCTCATCTCACAGGGGAGGACAGAGACCACCAGGGGAGGTCCCACTGGGATGTTTCTCTCCCTACCATACCTGTGTCACCAGTCCCTGCCCATCTCTGACCTATCCTCTCCCTTCTACGGGCGCCGCCGGGCCCCCGGTCCATTTTCCCAGCCTCTGCTGGAGAGCTTCCTGTCTCTTGTAGCCTGTGATTTCTCAAAATGCCTTGGGTCTCTTCACAACCCAGCCTCCTCTTCACCACAGCCCCAGGCTTCTAATCGCCTGCGCCAGGTGTCTCCCCAGTCCCCACAGTAGCCAACTGTATGTCCTGCTGTCTCCCCAACCCCCAGGCCTTTACCTAAACACCAGATGTGGGAACAAACTCTGCACAGAGCAACTGCTGAGCCTAGATGCTCCCAGCAGGGCCATGCCCCAGCCCCCGTCTTCTTACCTTCTACCTAACAAATGTTGTGACACTCCTGGAGGAACTGGGCGCTCATCTCCCCTGTTTTCCATGACATATGTGTCTTCCCCTCCTGCGCCACAAGCCTGTCTTTTTTTGTTGTTGTTGTTTTTAATTTATACACTTTGGGTTTTTTTAATCTTTTTTTTTGGTGGGAGAAGGTAATTAGGTTTTTTACTTTAATTTACTTATTTTAACAGAGGACCTGGGGATTGAACCCAGGACCTCGTGCATGCGAGGCACGCACTCTACCATTGAGCTACACCCTCCCCCCAAAGCCTGTCATATTTACGACTACGGGAACTGCCGAGGTCAATAGACCAACCAACCAGGGCCAGGCCTCCTGCCAGGGGTGTGACACACATCATTCACAGTTCTGTAGCAACTCTGCAGGTGAGTATCCTTAGATCTGTTTCACAGATGAGGAAAC